GGTGCCAAAGCAAGGGGAACCTAGGGGGAGGATGGTGCGAAAATGAGATGTTGGAACCGGCGAAGGCTGAGGGCTTGAAACTGCGTGGAGGGGTCCACAATTGCGAGACCTCCTTTGACCTTGGGCTGGATTACTGATTCCTTTGCTCTCGACTAATGGTATGGGTGTTACCACTGTCTCCTCTCCATAGAAAGTTTGCCAGCTGCCGCTTTAGCGCCTTGAGCCCCCCATTGCTCATGGGCCATAAGATGGCTTTGTATTAGAGAGTGGCCAGTACAACATTATTGATGACAAGGGTCCACCCAAAAATTGATGTGTGCTTGTGGTTCCAGCTCGCTAGTTTGGCTTTCGCTTTGCTGTAACCGAAGCCTGGAGAAAAAGTGAAATATCCCCGCTCTTGGGAATTAGCCTGAAGAGTAACGAAATGTCGCCCCAATGCCACCCGACCGGGGTCGATAGTGCAACGTTTCCTCACCATCGGACTTTGTTTATGTAGCTCCCTGTCGCTACCGCCACCCATCTCGATCGTTGTTATGTTGCATGTTGTCTGTTGGGCCACCCGATGCCTGTCGCTTGGTTCATGAACTACGTTGGTAATAAATTCGTACTACGAAACGCCTTTGTGCACTATGCACTTATCTCGAGGTTATTGCTAACGATGAGCAAAGTGGTGTCAAATGCGTCCTAGGGCTCTTGATGAGTAGGGAAAAGTCCAATGAACCATTCTGTCGTAGTTACCCAATCTTTGTGTAGTCGTGTTTAGCTAATACGAACATGCACTCTACGAACATGCAGACACTAAACACACTGATTAGTCTGTACTACATACCAAAAAACATGGTAATACTTTCTCTGTATCTAAACAGAGAGAAGGTTATTGTGGTAAAGGTTTTGCACCACATACACGCAAAGCGGGATGTAGCATGGCCTTACGCACACATACATTTGCAAGGATCGAATCAATGAGAAGAGAAAATTTCTGAGCAACAAAAAAACAGAGCATGTATGTGAGAGCCAAGCTGAAAGCGGAGTTAGAAGCCAATAACACACCAAATGAGAACGGAGTTGTACTGAATTCTCTTGATAAAGAGAAATCTCGGCTTCTCACGTCCTCTAATGAATAGAACAACATACTGGCTGCTCTCCTATGATGTGACTGCCTATACTACTATCATGCTCTATCTATGTACAATCCTACTCTCTCTCTCACTCTCTTCTCTCTTGCTGTCCACCTTCTCCCGGCCAACAACGCTGTGGAGTTTGACCACTACGTATGTGCTCCTTGGCGCTGCCAGGTCAGGCCACCTGTCCCATCCCTGTCCTCTTCCCTTGATCATCCAATCCCCGCACACCCCTCTTCCTTCATGTACAACCGTGGCTGCACCTGGTGGAGAAGCTTACACGTGTAACCACGTTGGCTCCTCCCTTCTCCTTCGTCAAAGTGTTAGGTGCAGCCTCTTGCTATATATACGTTAGATAGGGACAATATTCTCTAATAAGCCCCTCTTAATTGGAGACTTAAAATTTATGTAATACTTGTGAATTGAAATATGAGTGTAATGTATTTAAACGTTCAAACAGATTACTGGGCCAAGTTCCTTGGACTTCAGTCGAGAGTTTCATCTTCAGATTCCAGACCAGGATTTACAAGGCCTTGCTTTCAAAGAATTATGGTAAGATGCGTGCTCTGGTCCAGGCACATACAATTTTCGACGTTGCGATATGAGGGAAGACGTTGTGCGATCTTGTAGCGTATCAGCCTTGCCGAACACGTTCGGGCAGTTATCCCACCATCATCTCACGTTAAACTGTGTATCAAAGACACGGTCGGGGTTCTGACTTTTCTGCTGATTGTCCGCACCAACACATTTGTCATTTGGTCGGATACTTGGCGGAAAGCATAGATAGACGACTAGCGGAAGAGGGATTCGAACCTTAGAGGAAAAGGCACCTAAAATGAAATATTTTAATCCAACATTTGTAGAGAATTCAGAATTTCGTTCTAATGCTGCAATAACATAAAAAACATAAAGTTTGAAGTTCGGTGGCTAAGTAGATGGCAATCCTTCAACTTATGAAAACTCAACATTGGTGAGCGTTGAGTTTGGAAGAAAGATTCATCATTAGCCAAGTTAATGAAATGATTGTGGATGCTATCTATGAATTGCCCTCTTCTACTGGGCCTCATAAAGCATTGCGCAAAGTACGAAATTGGAAAAACACAAAATGGTCAGTGAAGGGCGAAGCTCGGTGTATAAGCGGTGCCTTGTTATCATGAATTAAGATCAAAAGTTTTCGGAATCTTCGAATCCCTTCTCCAACGGCCTCCTATGTTTTTGTTTGATTTTCGGAGGCCGTGGTTACTTTTGTGCAAGGAAAATGAGCGATAGAGAATCCCAAAAACCAAGCAGCATCATACTGATTCATACACATGTAACCAGATAGTCGTGACCTCGAACCAAAAGCAAAATTGCAACACGAGTTCCACCAAATAAGAACACAACAAAAGCTCACAAATGACAATGTTGAAATGGTCTCATCATCATCACCAATGAACCAATGTCGACATCCTATCTGGCGCTCTGCGCCCAGACTACAAATGGCAGATCCTATCTAGCCTATTTGCAATGCCGCTGGTGACGTCAAAAGCTCCGTGAAGTACGAGCAGATCTCGGCCAATGTCGTGCGCCTCAAGCACCAGGTATGTCTCTCGTATTACTCACGACCTCGATCCCCCACTCACATATGCCACATGCACCCAAGGCCACAATGCGCACCATCCAACATAGTGCAGCGCAACTCGACTATGGCCGCCTGCTCATCTAGCTCGCCCGTGAGCGCGTGGGCTCTGGCCAGCGTTTAGCGCAGCAACGCTTGCGCAGCATGCAACCAGTGCCCGGATACCCAATGCGAGGGCAGGCACTTTCCTAAATGGAAGTGGCCTGCCTGCTACGTATGGCCTGGCTGCGTTGGGCCCCTTCCCAGAACCTTCCGGTAGGCCCCGAGAGGCTGAGCCCTGGTCCAAACGAATCAGGCCCAGGGCCTGCGACGGTTGCCTGTGCCCAACTGCCCGCAGCCTGTGTTCGGGCCATGTGTATCTGGCCAAGGGACTGCCACTATTACGTACGAAAAAGGCAGCCAGGGCCTAGGCGCTCTCAACCAACTGGCACTGCGCAACTGCCTGAATTTCCCCAATTGCATGGTGGCTGAAAAATAGACCTCTTGGCCTTGGTCAGGCCCGCGTTCAGTTAGGTCGGCCGACAGTGGTACTTACAGGGCCAGAAAGGGGCTTGTCGGGGCCTTATGCCTTGCATTCCCTCCTCCATACTTTGATAGTTGTCTGAGAAGTTCCATTACTCAATCTGGCGCTTTCCCTTTTGCAGTAACTTCTCGTAGTGAGCGACAACCTGTCGAGCGGTCTGCATAAGTTCCTCGCTGGGAAAACCATTTGTCCTCCTTAGGATCAGTGTGATGTATGAACTGAACGCTATATTGCAGCTTCGGCTTAGGGGGACGTCCCCTGCCTGTTGATCTTGGAACTGGCATTTCCCTGTGGTCCACGATGTCGTCGATGTCGACCTCTCCATCCATGGTTGGGGGCAGCGTTGAGCGACAAGAGGGGAACTGATCATTTTCTCTAAAAGGTGCGAGTTTGGAGGCGTGAAAGACTTGGTAAGTACGAAGGGCACCGGGGATCCGGATTACATATGACGGCCCATCCGGATCACGCCCAACAACATCAAGAACCTCCCATGGTCCAAAGTATTGTGGCATGAGCTTGCGGGAGATCCTGTGCTCCTGTCCCAGTTTTGAGGACTCGACCCAGACTCTGTCCCCTACCTGAAATGTAGATGGGCGGCGGTGCTTGTTCTCGGACTCTATCATCGCCGCCTGTGCCTTGTGCATTTGTTCTACACCTTGCTGCATCAGGCGCTCATATCGATAGGCGAATTCTAACGTGCTTGATGCAGCAGTCGGCTGGTTTCCGGTAGTGGGAAGTCGAGAGGCAGTCTAGGCTTGAAAGTTAATAGCAGGCTGTTGGGACTCACCCTTGTTGTGCTGTGCACGACGTTGTTATACAGACTGGAGATGAGAGCAAGTTTCTCATCCCAGTCCGCCTGGTCGGGCTTAATATAATGCTTCAACAGGTGTTGTACAACGTGGTTCAACTGTCCTGCTTGCCCGTTTGCCTCTGGGTGGTTCCCAGAAGTCATCTGTAGTTGTGCTTCCTGTTCTACAGCTGCAGCCTTCCCCAGCTCACTGGTGAGCTGGACATCTCAGTCACTCACTATAGACTTTTGAAGCCCAAAGTCTCTGACGCAGTTCTTTTTGAACAACTTGATCACATACTCGGTCTTAACTGTAGTAGGCATTGCAACTAACCTAGCATACTTACTAAACCTATCCACAATGACATAGACATATCACATTCCACTCTTGCTAGTGACCAGCGTGTCCATGAAATCCATAGACAGGCTCTCACCGGGCCTTTCCGGAATCGGAAGGGGCTTGAGAAGCCCAAGAGGGGCCTGTGTACGTGGCTTGTCTCTTTGACACACTTGACAAGTCTCCACGTACAGCTTCGCATCTTTCATCATTGTGGCCACCAAAACCGCTGCAACAAGTTTGCTGCAGTCTTCCTATACCCAAAATGTTCGGTGGCGTCATGACATCGCCTAAAAATAAACTACGCAATGACTCCTGATTCGGAACACAATCGTTTATTCCCGACCTTCTCAAGGAACAGCAGGCCGTTGACCAACACAAACTCATCAACAGTTACTTTGTCCTTTGCCTCGAGTCTGCGTATGATCTCGGCCATAAATGGGTCCTCGCGATAGGCTTCCACCAAAGACCGAGTAACATCGTCCGCAAGCCCAAACTCAGTGGCCAGCGCACCGAGGAAGTTTGGTCTACGCGACAACGCATTTGCAACCTTATTGTACTCCCCTTTGATATACTGAGGTTCGAAGTCGTACTGCTCAATCACTTCGATCCAGCGTTTCAAAGCATCGGAGAGTACATGCTGTGTCTTCATCACCTCAGGGTCTGATGATCAGTCCTGACGTAGAAGAATGTCCCAAGGAGGTAATGCCTCCAATGAGTCAACGCTTTATAGATCGCATAGAGTTCCTTGAACTCCTTCTCATAGGTGGACTTAGGCAACTTTTGAGAGGGCATCTTTTTGGACATGTACTCTACATGCCTTAACTTTTTCCCCTCCTGCTGCGCAAGCACGACACCAATTCCATATTGGTTGGCATCCGTGGTTACTACGAAAGGTTTGTTAGGATCAGGAAGTTTCAAGACCTCATGGTGTATCAGAGCATGCTTCAGGTGTCGGAAGGCAGCCTCACACCTGTCTGTCCACTCCCACTGGGTGTCGAGGCGTGTTAGGTCCGTCAAAGGGGCGGCCACTATGCTATAGTTCTTGACAAAATTGCAGTAGTAGTCGGTCATCCCGAGGAAGGACCTCGTCTCAGTCACAGACTGAGGACGCGGCCAGTCACGAATGGTGGCCACCTTCGCGTCATCGGGCTTCAATCCCTCGGCCAAAATCTCATGACCCAGATACAAGATCCGGGTGCGGCCAAACTCACACTTCTCCCGGTTGATCTTGAACTGGTACTGTCGAAGGAGGCTAAGGACTTTATCTAAATGGCCAACGTGCTCCACGACTGTCCTACTGAAGGTAAGTATGTCATTGAGGTACACGATGACAAACTTGTCCAGGTAGTCATGAAAGATCCGGTTCATGGCGTGCTGAAAGGTGCCAGGAGCATTGCAAAGGTCGGAAGGCATCACCACAAACTCGTACAGACCGTACCTGGTTTGAAAAGCGGTTTTGTGTTGATCCTCAGGCCGTATTGCAATATGATGGTACCCGGACTTCAGATCCATCTTACTGAAGTACCGACACCCGTGCACTCGGTCCAACAAGTCGTCGATGCGCGGTAGGGGCTCTGCGTTCTTGACAGTGATGGCATTAAGGCCCCAATAGTCAATGCACATCCTCAACGTCCCCCCCTTTTTTGGTACAAACAAGACGGGAGACCAATAAGGGGAGACAAAGGGGAGACACTAGGCCAGATCCAACCCTTCTCTATGAGTTCCTTGAGTTGTCGGCGAAGCTCATCGAGCTCAGCTGGAGACATCCGATAGATCCTACTCTTCGGAATACGAGACCCTGGGATAATCTCTATCGCATGGACAACCTCCCTCTCAACAACCCTTTTTGGCTCTTCGAATAGATCAGGGTACTTAGCGACTACTCCCTCTATCTTTGGCGGCATTTTCACCGTCTCGCCTTCTGCAGAGACATAAACTAAGCACATACCCTCCTCCGAATTCGGCTTATAATAATTATAAAACGCAGTCGCACATATGCACCCGTAGGACTCAATCAAACTAGTCGCTTTGAACTTCCGTAATCTGGCAATCCCCCCATTTGGCAGCGTGTGTTTGACTACTTTTCGGTCCCGGTCAAACTGGGGCTGTGCAACCGAAAGATAGTACATACCCAACAGGATATCCATTGGGAGTTCATCGCTGACTAGGAACGAGACTTGATGTCTCAGTTCCCCTCCCGCGTGCGGGAAAAGACACACAATGTCTTTAAGGTAGTCAGTGACTACCATGCGCTGTTTGTTGGCACACGTCGATTGCACAGGTCGACTTAGGCATTGCACTTGCCCCTGTAAGTGCAGCCTCTCAACGCATGCGCGACTAGTAAAGTTCCGGGTCGTCAAGTGTCATAATAGGCCCCGGCCTTGCGGCCGCCAATGACTACCTTGCCAACGAACAACTCACCTTTAGGGGCTTTGGCCATGGCCGTCCAAGAAGCTAGCGGGTCCGATCTAGACCACTCCTCCTCTAGCTCCTCAAGGATTCAATCACATTCATCGAACAGTGGATCGATGGGTTTGACTGTGTTTGCGGGATGACAACGGAGTTATTAGCTTGGGGCATCTCTCAAGATGGTGGGGGTGTGTCCACCACCTCGACCCTAGCAGGAACAACTACTATTCCTACTGGCCCGACGTGTTTCCCGAGGCTGTGCCAGAACTGTTGGCAACATTGCTACCCTGGGAAGTGGAGGATCCCGTCACCCGCCCATTGTAGGCGGGATCTTTTTTTCACCTTCTTATTACGACACTTGATTTGATTATGGCCATATTGGCCACAACGGATACAAGCCTATTGGGTGTACCGGTCTCTCCACACGTCCTCTGTGAGACCTGCTTTCTCCCGTGGAGGAGCGTTAAGGTCAACTTGACTCCTAGACACAGAGCCTCCTCGGCGTCTACCAGTCGCCTTACCTTTTTGGACTGAGGCAGCGACTGCTCCACCCCCTGAAGCCTCTACGCTGCCCGCCTCTGAACCTACTCCCTCCTGGTAGTCGTCGTCTAACTCAATGGTGTAACCATCGTTGTCGATGAACATAATGCGACCCTTCGTCTTTCAGTTGGGAGGCAGTGCCTTCTTCCTTCCATCCGCCGTGGGTTTGTTTCCATGCCCTATCTTTGCTTCCAAGTCTAGGGCCTTCTTGCTAAAAGAGGGAAAGTTGTGCATATTGATGTTTGCCTCACCCACCAATTGATTCCTGAGTGGCATGGGAAGACACCTCAGGTAAGTGGCAAGTAAGACTTGGGTGTCATAACGTACTCCAGGTCACAGATCAGACGCTCCACTGCGTCTGTGGCATCTCCAGGTACATTGATGTTTGCCTCACCCGTCTGTGACTTGAATGCTTTAGAGCTCAAAGTCAGGATCGCATCGGTGGCCTTTTGGGCCTCCTGAGGATCATGCCACCTTTCCTCCACCAGCTTAAGGAAGTCCTCCAGTTTCTGGTTGACTGCCCAAGCGCGGAAGTCACAACCGTATCCCTGTAGTTGCACTAACCCGCTTAACCATCTCGCTGCACTCCTCTCAAGGTAGGAGGCTGCCACAAGCACTTCCTCGTGCGGCAAGGTCAACTTACACTTTACGTAGACTGGCACTGACCTCAACCATGTGTCAAGGTCTTTGCCCCTCTTATCCCCTGAGAAGGGTTTAGGTGAGGCGATGGCCGTCTTCGGAACCCACTGGCCTTGTCCCGGCACCTGCGCCACTCGAGGCTGTGGACCCTGGGGCGCAGGCTGCTGCACTAGCTGCTGTTGGGGTTGTGTGCCATGCGGCTGTGCTGCATGCGAGACAGTAGGCTGCCCAGTTACGGCAGTCTGTAACAGAGGTTGGGAATACACGGTTTGAACAGGAATCTGTACACTTGGACCTGCTGAGAACCCGCCTGTCAATGGCATACTGAATAGGGAAGCGGCATGTGCTGGAGGAACTACAAATGGGGATACTCCAGTCACTGGTGGGACAAAAGGAGGATGCTGTACCACAGGCCAGGCATCAGGCCCTGATGGTGATGGTGTTATCTGGACTCGCCCGGCCAGCACGGCCAGGCTTTGCTGGATGTCCTGCAAGAGTGTAGTGTGATAGGCCGTCATTTCTACCACATCTAACAGGGCTGTTCTCGCTACTCTCACATCATTATCCATGTGATTCAAGTGCATCTCCTCTAACTCTCTAAGGTCCGCTTGTCTCCGCTGCATCCTTGTCCTATGTCTGAGCATTCTCTCCTTTTCTGCCTTTATCTCTCCTAACGCCTTCTGTAGCGGTGCCTCTTGAGTATCTGCTCTTTGTATGGCGACCTCCTCGGGGGTCAACACTAACTGCTGGCTTGCCATGATGCCAGCGTACTGAGTCAGGGTCTGTGCAATCGTCACCCCTACAGTCCCTGAACTACTGGCCTGGGAACTCTGCTGCACAGCAGTTGCCATGGCTGCTGAAGTAGCGGCTTCGCTTGCGAATGCCCTGCTTGCCTCTGCGGCCCTAGCTCTCCGCTGCTGCTGCTGCCTCTCCCTAAGCTGGCGGAACATGAGTCTGTCACCCTCACGTCCTAATGCCACGTGGGCCAACGGGCGCCTTGCTGATCGCAGGATCCTATCATCCTCGCTAGTGTTATCCCTGTCACTCATAAGCTACAGCACTGTACACAGTCTGCACTAGGACACACTCGATGCCTACCGCAGCGTAGGGCACAGACCGATTTAAAATAAATAAATTAATTAATCGGTGGCTATGTCAGAGTCTACACATTCGGGTCCAACAGGTAAGTCCAGATTCCTACAAACGCAACTATTTTTAATTAATTAGTCCATGAACAGAAAGCAGATCTACCTAAGGCTGTCTGTCAGATGTCAATGGCTGTACATCTTAACTAATCAAAGTAAAAATAGAATCATTTGTTTGGCTGCTTGCAGAGTGGAATCTTTCCCCAACTGATCACCCGAAACCTACCCCTCCCTCAGTTCTTCTTGACTGTCGCTTGACGTCAGTGTTCCTGAGCTATCCAGATAACGTGCGTGTCTAAAGGTGTGCACACGGCCCACCCCTGTGCCCCGAGTGTATGCTGAGCTGGCTAGCCCTGCACAATGTTTAGCCACGCGTGCAGCGAGCCTTACACCGACCGATTGGCTGATCAAGAGACGTTTAAGGACGGCCCCGGCAGTCCTCAGGAATTATTTAACGTCGCAGACAGGACGACAGTCACAGCCAATGGAAGGTAACCCCGCCTATGCTTATTTATAGACGCCCGGTACTCGTCTCCCCTGTAGGGCTGGCCGGCCCATCTATCAGCGCAGCAGGCAGACAAAGGACAAAGCAGCAAAGCATGTGTGCTCTACTCTTGGTGGGTTGGCATGGTGACCGTGACCCAGTGCTTCATCCAGGGCCCTTCAGATAGCTCCGCCCTCTCCTTCCAGATGCTCCACGTGAACAATGCTGACTCTCAAGGTTGAGCGCACTCGACTCCTCATATGAGAGGACTCCCAAGATAGAACACACATCCTCACGGTAAGAAGTGTCGAAGAGGGTAGATAAGGTTAAGAGCAACGTTCCTCAATATAGCTGCCCCCAACCACAGATATTCTCACCAGATGACCTGATGCCGTTTGTGATGACCAATCGCTGCCTCGGCACAACCAGCATTATACCGCTGTTCCACCTCAGCATCAATCGCACATCATATAGTTCTCATAGCACTGCGAACACCCAATAATCACCACGTAGCCTTCCTGGCGATACTCCTCTCCAACTGGGTCGCCTGCTTGCCTTCGCCCTCCTCACTGCACACTCCCTACGGCCGCTCGCCCAGCAGACCGCATGCATGTACCGCATAGGCAGAAGACAAGCGGCAGATTAGCGCAACATACCACGGCTCCGATACCAAATTGCAAGGAAAATGAGCGATAGCGAATCCCAGAAACCAAGCAGCATCGTACACATGTAACCAGATAGTCGTGACCTCAAACCAAAAACAGAATTGCAACACGAGTTCCACCAAATAAGAACACAGCAAAAACTCACAAATGACAATGTTGAAATGGTCCAATGTCCACATCCTATCTGGCGCTCTGCGCCCAGACTACAAATGGCAGATCCTATCTAGCCAATCTATAATGCCGCTGGTGACGTCAACAGCTCCCCGAAGTACGAGCAGATCTCGGCCAATGCGGTTCGCCTCAAGCACCAGGTATGTCTCTCGTATCACTCACAATCTCGATCCCCCACTCACAGATGCCACATGCACCCAAGGACCACCATGCGCCCCATCCAGCATGGTGCAGCGCAGCTCGGCTATGGCTGCCTGTTCATCCAGCTCGCCCGTGAGCGCGTGGGCTCTGGCCAGCGTTTAGCGCAGCAGCCCTTGCGCAGCATGCAGCCAGTGCCCGAATACCCAATGCGAGGGCGGTCACTTTCCTAAATGGAAGTGGCCTGCCTGCTGCGTGTGGCCTGGCTGCGCTGGGCCCCTGCCCAGAAGCTTCCGGTAGGCCCCGAGAGGCTGAGCCCCGGTCCAAACGAATCAGGCCCAGGGCCTGTGACGGTTGCCTGTGCCCAATTGCCCGCAGCCTGTGTTCGGGCCATGTTGTGTATCTGGCCCAGGTCCTGCCTCTATTACGTACGAAAAAGGCAGCCAGGGCCTAGGCGCTCTCAACCAACTGGCGCTGCGCAACTGCCTGAATTTCCCCAGTTGCGTGGTGGCCGAAAAATAGACCTCTTGGCCTTGGTTGGGCCCGCCTTCACTTAGGGCAGACGACAATGCTACTTACAGGGCCAGAATGGGGCTTGTCGGGGCCTTATGCCTTGCATTTGGCTGGCTGGACCTACTGGGACGAGGAAGCTTCCAGACTGCTTCTGCAGCTTCCACTGTACTTGGGCCTTCACTCAGGGCCCCACCTCATTTTAGTATGCTGAGCCTTCGACCAGTCTTGGGTCAATTTGCCCAGGTGGCCCCTGCTGGGCGCTGTCATGGCCTGATGCCTCCCTCTTAGCTTCAGAGCCCTCTGCAGAACCCGTAATCTTCTTGGCATTGCTTCCCTTTCAGAGCTCTCTTGTAATGTGGAATCCCTTGAGTTGCAGACTTGATCAGTTCTTCCCTTGTAAACCACCATTCTTTCTGAGGATCTGAATGACCCTTGAAAGCCATCCTGAACTACATCTGTGGCTTCCATGGTCTGCGTCTGCCCTGTGGCTTCTGGACAGGCATCTCTTTGTGCTCCGCAATTAGATCAATGTCGACATAACCTTCACTCATAGTCTGCCTCTGCCCCGTGGCTTCTGGACAGGATTCTCTTTGTGCTCCACAATTAGATCAATGTCGAGATAACCTTCACTCATAGTTTGAGACAGTATCAATCTGCGGGAAGGATACTGATGCCTTTTTAAGAAAGACAAAGAGTTTGGCTGCGTGAAAAAATATAGGGTAAGTGCGGAGATGAGGCGCGGGACTTCTATCACATAAGATGGGGACAGATGGTTAACAGAGGCCTGAATCGCCTGAGAATTTTATTCAGTGCCATTTATAAGAAAACCCAAAGGCCTTCTGAACCAAACTTGCCACCAAGTCATTATAACAAAGGCCTTTTGATTCGTTTTGAATCTTTTTGATACCATATTAACAAACAGCAAAAAAAGAAAAGAAAAGAAAAAAACCCTACAAAACTGTAAGGCAAAAGTGCATTTTTGCCTTCAGAAAAATTTCAGAATTTTCAGAGATTTGAGAAATGTCAGTGGAGGGATTTCCAATTGTCCAAAAGACACCGAGTTTGGCACATAGCAAACTTTAAGGCTTTAACTAGAACAAAAACAAGCAAAGATACGTAACAAAAAAAAAAAAAAAAAAAAAAAAAAAAAAGGGCAACAAATGAGGGGCTGTGACAAACTATAAGTGAGTGAGTGTNTTCCGGTAGGCCCCGAGAGGCTGAGCCCCGGTCCAAACGAATCAGGCCCAGGGCCTGTGACGGTTGCCTGTGCCCAATTGCCCGCAGCCTGTGTTCGGGCCATGTTGTGTATCTGGCCCAGGTCCTGCCTCTATTACGTACGAAAAAGGCAGCCAGGGCCTAGGCGCTCTCAACCAACTGGCGCTGCGCAACTGCCTGAATTTCCCCAGTTGCGTGGTGGCCGAAAAATAGACCTCTTGGCCTTGGTTGGGCCCGCCTTCACTTAGGGCAGACGACAATGCTACTTACAGGGCCAGAATGGGGCTTGTCGGGGCCTTATGCCTTGCATTTGGCTGGCTGGACCTACTGGGACGAGGAAGCTTCCAGACTGCTTCTGCAGCTTCCACTGTACTTGGGCCTTCACTCAGGGCCCCACCTCATTTTAGTATGCTGAGCCTTCGACCAGTCTTGGGTCAATTTGCCCAGGTGGCCCCTGCTGGGCGCTGTCATGGCCTGATGCCTCCCTCTTAGCTTCAGAGCCCTCTGCAGAACCCGTAATCTTCTTGGCATTGCTTCCCTTTCAGAGCTCTCTTGTAATGTGGAATCCCTTGAGTTGCAGACTTGATCAGTTCTTCCCTTGTAAACCACCATTCTTTCTGAGGATCTGAATGACCCTTGAAAGCCATCCTGAACTACATCTGTGGCTTCCATGGTCTGCGTCTGCCCTGTGGCTTCTGGACAGGCATCTCTTTGTGCTCCGCAATTAGATCAATGTCGACATAACCTTCACTCATAGTCTGCCTCTGCCCCGTGGCTTCTGGACAGGATTCTCTTTGTGCTCCACAATTAGATCAATGTCGAGATAACCTTCACTCATAGTTTGAGACAGTATCAATCTGCGGGAAGGATACTGATGCCTTTTTAAGAAAGACAAAGAGTTTGGCTGCGTGAAAAAATATAGGGTAAGTGCGGAGATGAGGCGCGGGACTTCTATCACATAAGATGGGGACAGATGGTTAACAGAGGCCTGAATCGCCTGAGAATTTTATTCAGTGCCATTTATAAGAAAACCCAAAGGCCTTCTGAACCAAACTTGCCACCAAGTCATTATAACAAAGGCCTTTTGATTCGTTTTGAATCTTTTTGATACCATATTAACAAACAGCAAAAAAAGAAAAGAAAAGAAAAAAACCCTACAAAACTGTAAGGCAAAAGTGCATTTTTGCCTTCAGAAAAATTTCAGAATTTTCAGAGATTTGAGAAATGTCAGTGGAGGGATTTCCAATTGTCCAAAAGACACCGAGTTTGGCACATAGCAAACTTTAAGGCTTTAACTAGAAAAAAAAAAAAAAAAAATACAAAAAAAAAAAAAAAAAAAAAAAAAAAAAAAAAGGGCAACAAATCATGCTTTGTGTGAAGATGGGCTGTCAGGATCTTGCCTTAGAATGTTTCTGTGATGTCTTGCTGTGGCACGAGCACGGACGATCTAACCCGAGCTCTATCACCTACCCGGAACATGGACTCGTCTGTGTTTATTCTCTGAATCAATCCTGGCCCTTTGCGATTTTAGAAACTGTTTCATAATTTCTTTCATCATCTCTTCATATTTGAGGGTATACTCCACTGTTCCGGGGGCTGCGATTTTAGAAACTGTTCCATAATTTCTTTCATCGTCTCTTCATATTTGAGGGCATATTCCACTGTTCCACGGGCTAACTGCAGCTTGTAGTCTGGGAACAAGTAGTCAAGAGGTGTTCATGGTTTCCTTCCCAAGTGCAGTGCATTCGGTGTTCACCCAGTGGCTGAGTGCACTACACATTATTATACAGTCCAGCTATCTGAGGCAGTCTAACATACCAATCAAGCTGATCAAGAGAAATGTAATGCCGCAGAAGCTGCTGTGCTTATTTGCTAATCTGCTCAACCTCTCCGTGAGATTCGGGGTGATGTCCCTGATGTCATCTTGAGTTCTGAACCGAGGTGAACCGAGAGCTGAACTGAGATTCACAGCTAGGTAGTGCCACTGTTCACTTGTGAACCTAACATCTCTTTCACTTACAATGTGGTTCAGTGACCCAAGGTCTTTGATCAAGTTGTTAGCGAATT